AATTTGGAATCTGCGTCAATTTGAAATTCACGCGCGTGAAATTCAAATTAGCCAATCAGAATTTTGTATTCAAACACTCACCCCAAAATTTAATTGGTAAATTTCAAATCGACACAAATTTGATTTTCAACGCACAACATATACACTTCCTGCAAATAATTGAAAAATTTTACTATCCCAATCACACTTGCTTATTAAGTAAAAATTAATCTTCATATTAAATAATATAATATACTGAAGTTTCACCACATATAAATAAACCAACAAACCTTAAAAGTTAAACAATAAAATTCCGGAATTTTTTTAAAAATCTTTAACTCAAAAATTGACCACATTAGCAAGTTCTAACGATCTTTGTGGTATAAGTGAAAAATGTTTTTCATGTTTAAATCTAGTTATTTCTAAAATTTTAGAGCATTTGGTAGATTAATTAACGAGCAAAAAAATAAAAAGTAAAAAAATTTACGAAACAATTCAACCTCAAACTGCTCACTAATTTGAAACATAAAAGACATCAAAAAATATATGAAACTACTTTAAATTAATTGTATTTTATTAAAAAAAAATCAATATCTTGTCGGGTTTCCTCTACTTTTTAAAACAGCATCAACCCTTCGTGGCATACTATCTATTAATTTATTAATTTTTTCTGTTAATATGTTGGCTATTTCCCTATAAGAAAAATTCGCCTTTTTTAAGCCAATAATTTCTCCACGTTCAAATTCAGATAATTCAGTACCTCTAGGCGAATTTTGGCTTGCGAGCTGGCTCATGCGGAGCCTTAATTTTGAGTTTTCTTTTCAAATGAGCTTGTATCCAAATATTTCAGACTCTCAATAATATCCTGCTTTATTTCAGTTTAAATAATTTCAGATGCAATTCTGGCTACTATTGTCATGAAAAGCTAATGATGATGATAATGAGTGATTTCTGGCTATGCAAGAAACCAAAATCAAACCCCAGTCAATTCCCATGGTATTAGTATTAGTAAAAATCTATTTCGATCAGATTTGCAAATATTTTTTCGTGATTTAATTTTCCAAGATGAGAAAAGTGTCCTAATTATTTTAAAAAAAATCAACTAGAAATAATATTACCATAGAATCTGAAAAGAAAATCAAAAGTTTGATGAGCTCACTTTTTTATATTCATTGAAAACATTTACAATAATAATTTGAATCAATTATTTTATTAACAAGGAAAATTGTTTTTTGTGTTTTGTTATTATTTTTATTATTGTAATCGAAAAATTATGTAAATTTAAATTTAAAATTTGTATCACATGAAACTTTTTTAAAATATCTCATTATTTTTATAATAAATTAGGATTTCGGTGTTAGAGTGAAATGAAAGTGCTTCATTAAAGCTTTCTAACAAATACCTTTTCATATTGAAAAGTTTTCTCTACATGAATTCACAGCTATTCAAAAACATTATTATTTTTTCACTTCAAAGCTCAGATTATTTCTCAATATCACTCTAAAAAACTTGTTAGTAGATGAGAAGATGTAGAATACTTTAAACTTTCATATGCTCATTACTTTATGGGAGTATTGGTTAATAAATTTTAGAGAGATTCACAAAAAACTATTTTACAGAAATTTAATAGTCATGAAGAATCTTATGTAAATGGAATTCAGCAAAAACTAAAAGGTATTTTATTAGTGATTGTTTTATATTTCTGGCTTTATATTGATTAAAGTTTCATTAATGATTATTACAAATATCCATCAATTAGTAGTTGTTATAGCAACATTAAACACTACTATTTATACGAATTTATAAATTGTATTTGCAAATGTAATAAATAATAAGAAATCCAAAGTTTAAATATACAAATTTTCAAAAGGGACTTTCTTATAAAATATTTTATCTTTATATGGAATTCTTGCCTAAAATTGCTATATAAAACTTAAGATTCAAGTATAATATTTAATTATTTATTCAAGAAAAAAAATATAAATAGACGTTTGTATTTAGTTTTATTCAAAAAAAAAAGAAATATAAATAGACTTTGAAAAGTTTAATTTTTAAATTTTTCTGTCGCGCGTAATCATGCTTAATCACGTGGGGACGGCCCTATTCTTGTTTATTATCTCCACAAAATTATATTAATAATTTGTGTTACTATTATTATTTATAAAAAAAATTTTTTCTCAAAATTATTAATAATTAATCATTAGAAAACAATGATTGATGACATTACTCTAACAATTTTAGTCAATTCTTTGGGAGGGTTAATGATAGCAATGATTTTTGCTTATCATTATGTTGTTGTCAATTCAAAACAAAATAACATAAAAAAATGACAATTTTTTATAGGTTTGTATTGCAATTAAAAAATTGTTTAAAACACTAATTAAATATCATTTCACGTTAATTAATTTACCTTTAATTCTTTTTTTTTATAAAAACAGATTTAAAAATATAATCCACTTATTATTTAATAAATAAATAAATAATAAATAATAAACTCTTTTTTAATAATCTAAATAATCAATTTTTAAGATTCATCATTCTTATTTATCGATCACCCAATGAACCCATAAGATTAGATTCATTATTTTGATCTATGGATAGTTGCAATATCAGCTTGAGCATTTGTAGAGCTTCCAAAATTGACATTACAACATCTTTTGTCTTGCAGCAATATAAATTATTACATTCAGCTATATCAAATAATAAAAAATGAGATTAATATATCTTCTAATAATAATAATAAATGATATATGATCATTAGTGAATAATTAATTATATTTTACCAATACCTTATAATAAAGTTTTGAAAATTGATTGTTACCTCGAGTTCTAACTAATGCAAATCCTGCCTCAACAACTCCTAATAAATGAATTATTAATCAATTAATTAATCGATCAATCAATCAATTAATTAATCGATCAATCAATCAATTATTTATTTATCTATTTGTTTAATAAAAGAGATTTGTTTGTTTTCCCTCCTTCTAAAATAGTATAAATGATGATATTGAGTGTATCAAGAAGAATTGTAAAGATTACCTGATCTGATTAATTTTACTACTCGAGGTTTATTTAGAACTAACATTTTTTGATAAATATTACTTCCTTTTAAAATAAATAGTATATAAATAATATACTTTGTGGTTTCTTCTATTGCAAATTTTATAGCTGCATATACAACAGTATTACCATATCTATGACTATTCATTCCCTGTTTTAATTATACAATACATACATGACATATATATTAAAATTAATTAATTACCAGGATGCTTTCAATATTGATAATATCATACCTTTTCATTATTGAAAGTACAACTTGAGTCACACATAAAGGTCCGTTGATATTTGTATTAATAATCGTTTCTATACCTTTTGAGAAATTTTTTCTAATGGATCAAACCCAATTACTAAACCAGCCTATATATTAATCAAATTAATTAATAATTTTCCTATATTCATTGTCATCACCACACTCAATAGTAATATATAGTAAATTCATTATTGACGGCTAACTGACTAAAACATCAATATCTAAATTCTTCAAAAGATATGTTACCTTTTCATCTATTCCATCTTTATTCTGGATATCAATTGTACAAATGTGTGCTTTGACTGATGGATTATTTGCTAATATCAAAGAATCCATTTCATTCAATCAATTCTCACATCTTGCCAACAGAATTAATCATCGGTAATTAAGAATTGATAGCAAAAAAAAGGTATAATCTTTGATGTCCCAGTACTATGTATGATTTATAATATAACAATAATAATTAATGTTGTAGTTGATGATATTGATATTGATGTTGATATTGATATTGATTTATTATTTCTTCCCTCTGACGTTAATAAGAAAAAAATTAGTCTAATAGTTTGTACTACAAATTAATATTTTTTCTTTTAAAACTTACACAAATGCTTCACGTATATAGATATTTTAAAATTACTAATAAAAAAATATTCAAAAAACCCTTATACACTATTACTACTATATATTTTCTTTCAATAATTAGTTACTCTGCTTCTCTCTTCAGTCATTGTTTTATTCAAAGTTGATAAAAAGTAAAAAACCAAAATTTCAATTAGGAATAAAAGATTTGGTAAATATAATTTATTAAAGAACTTACTATTTACAAAAAAAAAATATAATTATTCAATTATTAATATATTATAAAATTTTACCAAAAAAATTTACTATTTACAAAAAAATATTATTATAAATTAATTTTCTATGAATGTTAGTAAAAAAATACATATTTAATTATAATCTCAATCATCACCATAAAAATAACATCATAAGTATCAACAAATAAAGAATAATTATGGTATATTCTTGACTTTTATCTTCTTTGGTACGCTTCTCCTTACTTTTTTTCTTTTTCTTCCATCATCATAGAATGATTCATCGTCCTCGACGCCATCATCAATATCAATGTCAAGATTATTATAATAGTGCTCATTCATCAACCAAAATTACACTCATCATCACTGCTAATAGCATTAAGTTTTCGTTTGCCCTTTCTCATTGTTGATTGTTCACGTGTCTCCTTGATAATAAATTCATTATTGTCATCTTATCTAAATAATCAGAGTTGCTATCCAAAAAATTATGTAAAATATATATGTACATATATTAATGTACACATAATAATAATAATAATATAATGAATTATATTTACGTTCATCATCAGTACTTACTGTGCTAATTTTCCTTCTAACTCTTCCTGTTGGCGTTTTTTTGCATGGCTGCTTAATAATAAAGACATCAACAAGAAAATCATTATCATCACCCGCCCACAAATATCGCTTTAACATAATCCGGCTCTTCTTCATCTGATAAAACCAAACATTAATTATTAGTGCTATTATTATAACTATTTTCAAATCATTGCTTACATAAAAATTTAGTATACATAAATTAATATATGTACTTACTACTTGAATACTTCTTCCTTTTTTCCTTTTCCTTTTTCGTTTTTTTACAACAGCACTTTTAATATTTGATAATGATGGTGATGATGGCGACACTTCCGGACATCTATCTAGCTGTTATTTTTTTAGAGATCTCATGTTTGCCAGTTTCTATATCTTTTAAGTTTTGTAAGATCTGATCCTCCAATAATTTCTTTTTCGCTTTAAATAATCTGCATCATCTTCATCTATACTTCCTTCTCGCTCACATCAAGAAATTCAATATCAGTAGAAGACAGGTCCAATCGATATTTATGTCCGATCTAATAAATAAATAAATGGCAAATATTAATATGTAATCTTTAAAGAAAAAGATTAGAATAAGAAAGAATAATCACATGGATGATAATATTTTTGATCCACTTTGAACTTTCTTTTTCTTATCTCATCCAAAACGTCAGTTTTTCCTGTCTATCAAATCTAAATATAAGTTTCTCCTCTTCAATCAAATCAGTCATAGGTTCAAATGACTCTCCCCCAAGCGTGAACAGATTAATATAATTTTTGTTTAATATGTTGATAGTATCTGACGAAAATAAGGACCCCTTCTTGATTTGATATTTCCTGTGTATAATTTTTTATTTTCACGCTTCTCCTTTCGTTTCGTTTTTGTATTTTCTTGTGATTCCTTTTCTTTGGGTTTGGCTTGTCGTCCATTTTGTTGTAATTTATGTTATTTGTCTCTGATATTTTATAAACTCCTCCCGATCTGTCTAGATTTATTTTTAATTAATATTAGTTATCATAATTATTGTTATAATTAAATTATAGGTTAAATGATATATCATTCATTACCTTCTTCTTCGTTAAATAAATGTTCTAATAATCATAATAATATTATAAATAACATTTTCCCCCCAAAATAATAAATAAATCTACTTACCTGTTTTATAAAAACTCGCAGGTTCCGGTAAAACTATTTAGATATTATTATGTATTTTTAAAAAAAAAAAACTAAAATTAATATTATAATAATTTTATTAGAATATTTCAATATTATTAATTAACGAAAAGATTTACCGTTTAATTTAAATATGTAATAAATAAATGATCAAAATCATCCATCATTAATAACAATTATTATTTGTTGAATTATTTCTTGTAAAAAAGGTTGTTTACCAAAGGAAAAAAAACATGAATATTAAGGAGATTGTGTTGATAAAGAAGATTTTGAAGAAGATAAAATAGGTATATTGTGAAATATAAATAATTAAAAATGATCTTTTTGAATTTCCTATAAAATTTGATATTGATAATATATATGAAATTTGAACAATAAATTAAATTTAGATAACTATTCAAATA